TTGAAAATCCAATATGAAAAATAACTATTGTTGTAAAGTAGGTCAAGTATATTCTCTTCCTGAATTTAGGTAATTTCAACAAAATGCTGTATCACAAGAACTAAATTATATTCTTATACTATTTAGTTATTTTTCTTCAAGAAAGTTATTAATATCTTAATGAATTTTTAATGGGTGTGGCACATTGTTCTAGACCTATGGTTTTATTGTCAATAAGTATGGAAAAATAAATCTATGATCTATTTCTTATTTCTTTTTTTCTAACTTGAGCATAATTTAATTGGTTAAAACATATATTTTTAACCAAAAAAATTGAAAGTTCGAATAAAAAAAGACGGTATTATTTTTCAAGAGATTTTAACATTGATTCATGCAAATTCTTATAAGAAAAAAAAAAGATTCATGCAAATACTTCAAGAGTGATAGAAAAGTGTGGTACAAGATCTCACTTTTGTGAATTTTTATGTTAATTATTAAAAAATAATGGATTTTCTTTCAATTTAGATAGTTTAAGCTACCTAATCTAAGTATCTTAATCTTTTACCTGCAACATTTACGTTGAGTTATATTAATCTCAATATGAATTAATAAGTTTTTGCTAATTGAAATAATTTATATTAATGAGTTTGCTGATCGAAAATAAAATGAGGTATCCAATTAAACTCTCGAATAAGTTCACATGTAGGGGTGTTCCCTTAATATAAGACATAAACATCACAATCTTAAACTTTATCTGGTCGTTAACTAATAATAATTAAAATTAATAACCTCTAGGAGATTTTTAGAAAATATTTAACAATTTAAAACTAATTCCATTTTTATTAAGTGTTTTATAATTCAAAATCTAAATCTCTTGGAATTTAAAGTTTATTAAACTTTATCCTAATCCCTATTAGAACTTTCTTGGATGTTGCTAATACCATTAAAATAAAAAAATACACTAAATATTCTCACTCTAATTTTTTTTAATAAATATACAATAATTGTATTTTAAAAATAAAATAAGAATGTCTGATGACTATGATGGATCCGAATGCTACATAGCATCCAATATACACATGCAAGCATGTTCAATGATAACAAGAGCATTATTAATCATTTTTTCCTAAAAAAAAAGGGGGGAAATTATACTGGGTAGCTAAACTTTTATACATATTTACAAAAATATCAACCTCTCTTGTATTTTGCAAATATGACAAAATATTTGAATTTTTATTTTCGAAATTTTTATTATTCCAGTTTTACCCTTATGATATTTGATATACCTCCGATGTATATCTGATATACGCCTGATGGATGTATATATGATATACGCTCGATGGATGTATATATGATATATGTCCGATATATCTCTGATATACTTTCGATCTACATCTGATGTATATTCGATGTACCTTTGATATACATCAGATGTACGTATTATATATCTAATATACATCTGATGTACATATGATGTACCTCTAATTTATGATATACAAAATATATTTGTAATGATATACCTATGTATATCTTATTTGATATACATTTGATGTATCTCTGATGTATATTAGTGACATACTAAATATATTTGTAACTGATATATGATATATATCAGTAGATATCAGTAGATCACAAATACATAAATGTTAGATATCAATAGATATCATTAGATAGCATGATTATATCAATGGTAAATTAGAGGCATATTAAGTATATATCACATATGCATCAAAGTTATATTAATGGTAAATCATATAATCATATGAGAAGTTATATTAGTAGATATCATAGTTATATCGATGATAAATTAAAGACATATCAAGTATAGATCACATATATATAAGTGTTACATCAGCATGGTAAATCAATGGTTATATAATCATATAAGAACTTATATCAGCAGAAATCATAGTTATATCATATGTATATTAGTGGTAAACCATATTAGAAATTATACTGGTAGATATCATAGATATATCAGAAGTAAATCAGTTGTATATCAGTATTATATCAGTGGTATATCAAAAGTATATCAATAATATATTATAAATATATTAGTGGTAAATCAATAAATAATAAATAATATAATCATATAAGAAATTATATTAGTAGATATCATAGTTATATCAATGATAGATCACTTGTATATCAGTAGTAAATCATATCAAGTATAAATCATATATATATCAGTGCTATATCAATGGTATATCAGTGCTACGAGGGTAAGTTTGACATTTTATTATTGGACCTCCGTTTTTTCTAAAAATTTTGCTATATTTGCAAATTTAAAATGTAGATGCTGTTATTTTCTTAATTTTTTTTGCCATATTTGTAACTACCCCAAACAAAACTAATGTTGTTGTTGGCATGTACTAAGAATTTGAAATTTATATCTTGGATTTGTTATTGTTTTTGGTTTTTATATCTTTATCTTTATTTTTATTTTTTTAAATCATGTTTATTTAAACTTATTTGATAACTATTTTATTTTAGTTTTCTATTTTTAATGATCGTGTTTATTTTTTTCACAATTTCATTACTATAATTTTTACATTTCTTAAAATACTTGAATTCGTAGTCAAATTACAAAAAAAAAAACTTAAAATTACTTTTTTTTTTCCTTTTAATTTTCAAAATGTAGGTCAGATTTTGAAGACGTTTGAGAAGGTATGCTTGTAAGCTTCAATTTAAAAAACCGAAATCTAAAAATTTAGACTAGTTTGATAACTATTTGAGAGCCCGTTTGATAACTATTTTATTTTTGATTTTCTGTTTTTGAAAATTAAACTTATAAATACTACTTTTCCAAGGTTTTTTTTTTGCCATATGCTTTTTGACACTGTTTTCAAAATCTAGGTCAAATTTTAAATACTAAAAAAAATAGTTTTTGTTTTTGAAAATTGGTAAGAGTTTAAAGAAGCATAATTTTTTGAAAATACTATGAAACTGTACAAAACAAGCATAATTTTTTGCAACAGAAAACTAAAAACGTAATTGTTATCAAATGACACCAAAATAGTTATCATACTCGGCCTTACTTACTTGCACTTTTCTTTATTTTCTAATATAATTTCAATTATTTTTTAGTTTCCAAAAACATATATGTGTTATGGATCAGAAAATCTCAATTCCCTTTATTTAAGGGATTCAGAAGGAAAAATATCTTAGATTCAGGGGAAAATATCCTCAGAGAATTCCATATCCCCAGAAGGATTAGGATTCAACCTCTATAAATAGGGAAGTAAGTCAAACCCTAAAGGTATGCTACAAATCCCTACTATTTGAGATGCTCATAACACTCTACACTTTATACTCAACTACTCTGATTCTGACTTAAGCATCGGAGCCTGTGTGGTAAGAGCCACACCGGTCTTTAGTGTTATTCTGTTTTGTAGGTCTCGTCGATCCCTTTATTCTAGAAGACTGGTGCGAATTTGGCGGAATCCTAGGAGGCCAAATTTCTGCATCAACAATTGGCGCCGTCTGTGGGGACGATTTAAGGCATCCAATCGATCAACATGACACCCGAAAGGAGTCCACGATGCTCTGATGACAACTGCTCTGCCAAGAGGAGGTTAAACTTGGACGACCCCTAGGTCGGAGGACCCGAAGATGGGACCAGCCGATTGAACCCGGAACGTCAGGAAGGGTTGCCCGAGACGCATGTAGTAACGACCCCTGAGCCGTTCCAAAAGCAGCTCGCAGTCCTGGAAGACAAGGTGGAGGGCATGCTTCAACGCATGACCTAAGTCCTTCAACAATTCGAACAACAAAAGCTCGATGAGATACTCCTTGTCAGAGACCCCAGGAAAGGGAAGGGTCCAGCAGAAAGTGGGACTGAAGAGTCAAAAAACAGTGCAAGGAGCAAGCTGAGGATAGGTGGAAACACCCGGCGACGCACCCGGATTTTTGACTCCCAAAAGAGCAAAAACAGCAGAAATCTCCGATACCAAATGGGGGCAAGAACAACCAGAATAACTGAAACTCTGAGCCGATAGACCTCGACAAAGACAAACCGACGGATCGGCCAGAGTTGTCGGAGAAGCGACAAAACCAAAAAGAGAAGAGGTTTGACCTCGAAGAACTACTGGATCAGGCCGACTCACCATTTACGGAGGAGATCATGAAGGAGAAGGTCCTTCCAAAATTTTAGCTGCCCACGGTGAAACAATTCGACGGGACGGCCGACCCAATGGACCATCTAGATGCTTATCGAGAATGGATGGATATCTACAGGGTGTCAGAGGCGGTCAGATGCCGGGTGTTATTGACCACATTGAATCGGTTGGCCAGAATATGGTTTTGACAATTATAATGAGGTTCAATCTCGAGCTTCAAAAGTCTGGCTAGGGCGTTCATAACCCAGTTTGTAGGGGGACGGAGTTAGAGCCGACCCATGGCTTATCTTTTAACTATTAAACAAAGGGCGATAGAGAGCCTACACGACTATGTGGCTCGGTTCAACGAGGAAAAGATGTAGATGGAGGGCCTCACAGACACTATATCTTTACTGGTCTTCATGTCCGACATCAGGGATGAGCACTTGCATTCTCGTTCGGGAAGAAGAGACCAAGCACCTTCTCAAAGGCGCTGAGCTGAGCTTAGAAGTATATGAACGCTGGTGAATTCTTTTACTCAAAGAGGGAGCCGGAAGGAAAACGGTCCGACCAGAAGAGAGAAAGGTCGGGAAATAAGCCACAGGGGTCGAGATGAAAGAAAAGAGATCAGAGTAGCCAGAAAGATCCACCTCGAAAATTCGAAAAGTTTACGCCAATTACCGTTCCACTTGAGCAAGTACTAATGGAGATCAAAGACCAAAGGTTGCTCAAATGGCCAAAGAGGATGAAGGCACCTCCGACTAAAAGAAGCAAAGGTCGATATTGCCTTTTCCACAAGGATCACGGCCATGCAACTCAGGATTGTTTTGACCTCAAGGAAGAGGTGGAAGGGCTCATCCGGACCCTATAGCGACACAAAATGGCGAGAACGACAAGTCACCTGCTCGAGAGATTCGAACGATAATGAGAGGCCCAATAGAGAGAGAGTCCGGGAGAAAAAGAAAGGCCAACGTACGAGAAGCTAGGGCGAGCCTCGGACAAAGTGAGGTCTACCATGCATATGTTGCGGACCGGTCTATGAAGATCGAGTTTTCAGAGGGCGAGGCGACTCACGTCCTCCACCCGCATAACGATGCGCTGGTTATTACCTTGAAAATAGCCAACGCAAAAGTGCATCGAATTTTGGTGGATGGGGGTAGCTCAACAGATATCAGCTCCTTGACAGCCTACAAAGCCATGGATTTAGGAGAAGAGGTGCTTAAGAGCAGCCTGACACCATTGATAGGATTTGGAGGAGAACGGATCATTCCCAAGGGGAGAATAGAGTTGCCTATAACGTTCAGAAGTGAGCCAAAAAGTATCACAAGAATGGTGGACTTTTTGGTCGTCGACTATACATCCTCCTATAATACAATATTGGAAAGACCGACAATGCACATGCTCAGAGCGATACCATCCACATACCACCAATCCATGAAATTTCCAACACCTGGTGGAGTAGGAGAAATTAAAGGAGAGCAACGAGTGTCGCGTGAGTGCTACTACACTTCAATGAGGGGCAATGACAAGGCTTCTACTACGGGTCGCCATTGATTTTTTCTTTCCTCTTTCCTTTCAAGTATGATGGATTTAAGATTGTTTCTTCTTCTACTTTTAACAAGATTTCAGGTTATTGTTTCTTTTATATATTCAATAAAGGATCCATTATCCAGATTCCCATTCAACTTTGTTTTTCGAATCCAAACCTGAATGCCAAGCGACATTGATAAAACACCTTGCCTCATCTACAAACATACTCTCAAGGAGCAAATATCGACAATACACTACCTTGAGAGTAGGGGGCAACATGGTTATAAGATAAACGACAGGTCTTGATCAGAAGACTCAACGACGCAAGTTGGTAAAACCAGCCCAAGCCGAATAGGTCTAGGATCCGACCCCTGCTCGGTGCCAACCAGGGCTAGACCCGTTGCCAGATTCGACTTTCTTCTCTTATGTTACTTAAGGTGCGATGAGGCACAAACCTACATTAATCGACAAATTTGGAAAGAACAATTAAACAATCTCAACACGGCCAAACCAGAAGCGGGTCGATTGACCTAGCACGGTTAAAACATAAGATGGAGTAAAAGCCAAACGGCAGCAGGTATAAAACCATTGGCTATAGCCAAAGGGTTAGAAACCTATGAAAATGAGGCAACAAAGTCAGCTCCATCAGTGTTAGAGCCGTAAGCCAATAATTGTTGGCAATAGAGGGTTAATTGATGATTCCAAAAAGAAATACAAGTGAAGATAGTGACAAAGCAACAACATAAAATTTGTAAAAACGCTAAACACAGGCAAAGCAACTTGCTACCCTCTCAGACTACCTCGTCATCGTCATCCATGTCGTCAGGAGTGTCACGCTCAGCTCTAAAACGCTCCGGGAAGAAGGAGAAGTCAATATCAGGGTACTTGTTAGAAATTTGGCGAAGGGATTAGGAAACGTCGCACTCCATGGCAGAATTTTGTAGATCGACATAATCCTGAGTTTTTCTGAATTCCCCAGCCAAGTCTCTTCTGAATTCCCCAGTCAAGTCTCTTCTGTAGGTTGGCCAGCTCATCTCGAGATTTTCTCTTCTCTGTTTCCAACTTACATTGGGTACTCTCCAGGAGACTGTTGGCTTGTTCAAGGAAGAAAGAGCCTGATTCAACTCCTCCCAAGGAGCGTAGTGGCAGCAGAGGTGATTAATTTCATTGGCAACTCGACCCGAGAATACCACTAGACCATTGAAAACCTACCAAGGACAGAAATCGACGTTAGGGAAAGATGCTATGACAAATACTTGTAGCTACAAAGTGCTCACCTGGTGAAGATCGCTAAGACACGTACTGATGTTGTGCTGAGGATTTGACAGGCCAAAATTGGACCCGATCGATGAGTCTCCGAGCCCTTGCCAAAGGCCAAATGCCCTTTCCAGGTAGGCTGTCCCATCAACATCAGCACTATACGAGCCAGAGAAAGGGAAGATTGAAGCTTGGGAGGAGCTCCTTAGGTGACCTCGAGGGGAAGACGGGATAGACGTCCCATGAAGTTGGGCGGAACGCCTCGGGACTGTAGGAGGCTTGGAGGATCGAGCCTGCTGAGAAGGGGGTCCTTCCTCGGTCAAGTCAGTCACTTCGATATCCGAATCCCGGCTAGAGTCGGCCCCCAAATTCCAAACGTTTCGGCGGCGTTCTCTTTCATACAGGGAAGCGCTCCGTCTCAACATTTCTACAAGTAGAGATAAAAGTAAAAATCGACTTTCACGCAAAATGAAGAAAAGATTTCAACAAGTACCTAGAGGGTTATGAGGGGGAGCCAAGCCAAAGTCCACTAAGTTCTGCTCCTTAACCAAATCTGGGCCCCAACGCTCGGTATCTGATAACTGGATAACAGTATGGTTGAAATTGAATGCCTCGATAGTAAGCTCACAATTACGGGAAACTGTTAATAAGGAAAGAGAAATATCATAATAGATATCTACGAAAGTCCCTATAGAGTTCGGGAATCTACTTACCTAACTCCCTACACTCAGTCGGGACGGGAAAGAACAATCCTCTCTCGTCACAGGATAACCAATCGCCACCAACAAAGAACCATTTGTTCTTCCAATGCTTCACTGAGGAAGGACCCGTAACGAGAACCTGGTTCCGAGAACTAACATAAAAATGAAAGTTATCCTCGGGATTGTGTTTGGGATAATAAAGGGATATGAAATCCGCGGTAGTTTGAGCGTGCTCGCCCCTGAGATATGACCACAAAATAAAGCAACTGATCAAAGTAGACCACCCATTCGAGACGATTTGGGAAGGAGCTACTTGGTTGGAAGCTAAAAAGTTTTGAAGGAAAAGAGGCAACAGTAGGGGGACTCCAAATTGGAACATAGCTGCATAAAATACAACCTCACCGGGAAAAGAGCCATTGATACTCTCTCCCGGATTCGGAAGACGAAGGCTAATTGAATCTGGGATACGGTATTTTGAACGCAAGCGACGCAAGTCCCTCACCGTAAGAGTGAAATTATCCACCCAGAACGGACGGTAGGGTCGAGATTCAGACGAAGGATTCGACGACGATCCATCATCCGAGGAGGTCCATTCGAAATTAAGATCAGCCATGAAGAGAAAACACAACAAAAAGCAAGGTAAAGGAAAGAATACTTTGTAAGGAGGTTGCCAAGAAATAGAGAGAATGAAGGGGTTTAAATAGCCTTCAACTCAAAGGCGCAGCTCTCGGTCTTGAAGTCTTTACCCAACAGACCGAGGCGTGCTCGGCTCGGTACCCAACACTCCCATGACCTCTAGGTCACGGGTCTACAGTTGATGCGACAATTGCATGGCTGACGGCCTCGGGTCTTGCAATGAAAGGGAAAATCAATATCAATCTACTCGTGAAGATGGGAAAATTCGACTATGGTTCTCGCGGGTCCCACAGTGACAGCTCAATAGGCTCGGGCCACGATCTTTGACCATAAAAACCGAGGCATGCTCGGTGCGGACCCCGAGGAGCTCGTGATCTCCTCGATCACGGGTTTGACAAGGAAAGACAAGTCACGACAAAAGTTATACTCCCAAGAAGACGAAGATAAAATCGGAAGCATCGGCTTGGGAGTAGGGGCAATTGTTATGCAATGGAAAATTGACAAAAGGCCAAGCTGTAGAGGAATGAGGAAAAGGCGATTGGCAGAGAACCAACAGGGCCGAGCAGGGCTCGTCCCGACCCTTACTCGGCCCCGAGCCGAGCTCGGCCCACGACCTAGCCCGTGTATCTCCCACCTGCGATCAACGATTCCCCTTGGGCCCTGCAACTCTAAATTAGGGTTTGGCTACGGAAGGTTCTGAAATCATCTTCACGACTATAAGTAGCAGTGTGGTCCAACCCTAAAAAGGCAAGTAAATATCTCCAGTTCATTGCTTTCTCAACTTTTCCTTGCTAACTTAGGCATCGGAGTCCCGTGTGACTAAGGTCACACCGGTTTAGGTCGATTTGGTTGTGCATGTATCATTCCTAAATTATCGAGTTAGGTGTGTGCGAAGAGGAGAACCGGAGGACCGAAATTCATACATCAACAATATGTATTATTTAAATTTGGCTAAAATTTTAAAAGTGTATTTATATAAAAAAATTAAACTAGAAAAACTTAGGTATAATAGATTTCATAAGCTTAATCTTTTTTAAATTGTAGTCAAATATACATATTTGAAGTTAATTAGGAAACGTTTTAACTCTTTAGAATATGGTAAAGATGGTCTCTCAAAGTATATTCTTAAAAGCATTTTAATTATTATTATTAGTATTATTATTTTGTGTGGATAGAATAGTTTTATTCATTTTTAAAAAGTGTTTACTACAAAAACGTTCTACAAAAAATCATAAATAGAAAAAAGTACTTAAAATATTAACCTAAAATGACAAATTAGCTAGTTCTTCTCTATTGATTGTAATTATGTAATGGGATTGAAGTTTTAGGTTAAATTATACCAAACAAAAATGAAAAGGTTAGGATAAAATAAAAACTTTTTTTAGATGAAATTGGAATCAACTACACGTACATGTTAAGAATATTTTGTATAATTTTTTTTTAGCCAAGAATGTATAATTTATTTGGTTTTAATTTTTCCCTAAAATACCCTAGATTCTTAATTAGCTTTAATTTTGTCTCTAATCATGTTCTAAATGTTACGATTATTGCTACTAAAAAGTTCCTTGTGTAGCAAATTAAAAGATTGTGGATAAATCTATTATGTATATTTAAAAGTGTCACTTTTTTTTTTTTCAAATATAGTATAAGTGTAATTTTTTTTGGGAAGGATTTTACATTTTGAATTTTAGTTGGATTATACTATTTTCTGTAAAATTTAAAATTTTATGCTATATATAAAAAAATATATTTATTTTATGGTATATAGTTCAGAATTGAATTACAAGGAAACATGACACATGACACCCCACAAAATGAAGCCAACTTCAATAATTTGAAGTTATAATTAGCACTRACTATTTTTTTTTTCTTTTGGTGTGGAGAAAAGAAAAAGTTGTCTCTTCACTTCATTAGGCCTTTTCCATAACGTTCTTATCCCTCAAAAGAATAAAATAACTTTTGGTAACTCTATTCGCTGTTTGTTATTTTTTATTTTTTATTAAAAAAGTTTCAGAAACATATTTGACAACCGTTTATTGTTTCTTGTTCTCTAAAATTTTGAATTAAAAGAAGTAAAAGTTTTATATGAAATTTAATTTTTCAAATTAAATATTCAAAATTTTTATATTATATTTATTTATTTTTTGATATTTAATATACATTTTATAAGTAAAAAATTATAAAGTAAYGTACGTTTTGAAAAACTAGAAAGATGAACGATGAACAAGAAACTTCACCTTGTTTGTTTCCAAAAACTTCTACACAACTTTAATAATGTTTCTTAAAAATGAAAAATAATAATAATAAAAAAAAAGAATAAGTTATCAAAAAACAAAAAATAAAAATATGGAAACCCGCTGTGACTTACCAAATGGGCTGACATTACCCAATCCAACTTGTGACTATTTTTTTTTTAATTGTTAATATGTA